CGGCCTCCCAAAGTGCTGGGATTACAGGCGTGAGCCACCATGCCCGGCCACTTTCTGGCCTTTTCTTGGCACCCGCTCCCACCCTGGCACACAGAACACTTTACCAATTCCCAACCACATGTTCCCTTGGGCCTAGTGGCATCAAAGAGGCATGGTCACTGGGCCCCCGTGCCAGTTTCCTGAGTTGGCTCTGGAGCCCAGGAAGGCATCCATCTGCTGCAGTCCAGAAGGAGTGGGCTCTGCTGACAGCTGCAGGCTGAGGAAGTGCCTCCTGGGCCAGGTTGTCCTTGGGTGTAGATGGGGTCCTAGGGCATATGCACAGGGAGGGGGCTTCTCCCCTTCTCCCCACTCTAGGGGTTGGCTGGCACTGCTTCTCCTGGATGTGACCCTGGGCACAGGCATTCTGGGGCTGCTGGGACAGACAGCAGAGGAGGAGGCACAGAAGGTGTCAGAGGAGGCCAAGAGCAGCAGGAGACAGAAGAGATCCCAGGAAGGAGGGTGGGAGACATGCCCAGGGAAAAGGTACCATGTCATGGGGCCATCATTGCTACAAACCAGCTTACGCATCAGGCTCACTGGGCTGGAAGCCATGGGGGAATGCCAAACATCAGACCAGCAAAACTGAAATCCCAGGACTTTGGGAGGCTGAGGCGGGTGGATCACTTGAGGTCAGGAGTTCAAGGCCAGCCTAGCCAACATGGTGAAACCCCATATCTACAAAAAATACCAAGATTAGTCAGGCATGGTGGCATGCGCCTGTGGTCCCAGCTATTCAGGAGGCTGAGGTGGGAGGATCGCTTGAGCCTGGGAGGCAGAAGCTGCAGTGATCCTAGATCACACCACTGCGCTCCAGCCTGAGCAACAGGGCAAAACTCTCTGTGTCAAAAAAAGAAAGAAAACAAACAAACACAAATTGGGACACATATCTATTCCACACCAGCAAATCAACTCTGAGTGTCCTGTACTGCTTGGATAAGTAACTAAGTATTACATACTGACATTATTCCAAAGGAGTTTACAATCTACTAGAAACAATTAGGATGTAAAACATGAGAGCATGAACAAGAAGACAAATAGTTTGGAAAACTACCATACCAAAGTCCAGAGAAAGTTTCCTCAAAGGTAAAAGTTGGGCTGGGGCTGGGCACGCTGGCTCATGCCTGGAATCCCAGCACTTTGGAAGGCCCAGGTGGGAGGATCTCTTGAAGTCAGGACTTCGAGACTAGCCTGGCCAACATGGAGAAACCCCGTCTTTACTAAAAACACAAAAATTAGCTGGGCTTGCTGGCACACACCTGCAGTCCCAGCTACTTGGGAGGCTGAGGCAAGAGAATCACTTGAACCCGGGAGGTGGAGGTTGCAGTGAGTCGAGATGGCGCCACTGCATTCCAGCCTGGGTGACAGAGCGAGGCTCTCAACATAAACAAACAAACAAACAAACAAACAAATAAAAAATTAAAAAAGTTGAGCTAGGTCTTGATGTTTAGAAAGCTTGCTAAGTAGGAATGAGGGCACTACAGGGTGGGGCAGTGGCGTGGGCAAAGGCAGAGAGGTGGGACTTGGTGTAGTGTGTGTGGAAAACAGAGGAAGACAAGTCTCATGGGCCAAGGGGTCTGTGTCCCAGAGCAGAGACAGCCTGAGGGCTGAGAGGATCCACATTCCAGAGATCTTTGGAGGCCAGAGGAAAGAATATAGATTGAAGGGAAGATGGAAGAAATGTTTCCTACAGAAGATTAGACTGGGTGAAGGAAGTTGGGGGAAAGACTGGATTTAGGTAATGGAAATAAAAGAAAAAGAAAGAAAAGCAAAGTAAGAGGTGCACCTGAAGAAAATACAGAAAGAAGGGATGTCATCTGGTGACTGCTTGGAAGGAGAAGGTGAAGTGGGCATCCCTGCAATTTCATACCATGAAGAAAGCTGGTATTGCTGAGAACCAGGAAAGTTAAGCAAAGAAGATGGGTGAGAGGTGAATGGAGGGGTAGGGAGGAAAGGAGGTGGAGGAGGGAGGAGACGATGAGTGGTTTGGTGTACACCAAGCTTGTCCAACCTGTGGCCCAGGACGGCTTTGAATGAGGCCCAACACAAATCCATAAACTTCTTAAAACATTACAAGATTTTTTTTTTTTTTTTGCAATTTTGTTAGTGCAGCAGCTTTCGTTAGTGTATTTTTGTTGTTGTTGCTGTTAGATAGAATCTTGCTCTGTCACCAGGCTGGAGTGCAGTGGCACGATCTCAGCTCATTACAACCTCTACTTCCAGGGTTCAAGCGATTCTCCTGCCTCAGCCTCCCAAGAGCTGGGACTACAGGCGTGGGCCACCACACCAGGCTAATTGTTTGTATTTTTGTAGAGACAGGGTTTCATCATATTGGCCAGGCTGGTTTCAAACTCCTGACCTCAAGCGATCCCCCTGCCTTGCCCTCCCAAAGTGCTGGGATTACAGGCATGATCCCACCGTGCCCAGCCGAATTACCATATTTTATATGTGATTCAAGAAAATTCTTCGTCTTTCAATGTAGCCAGGAGGTGGAGGTTGCAGTGAGCCGAGATAGTGCCACAGCACTCCAGCCTGAGCGACAGAGCCAGGCCCTGTCTCAAAAAAATAAAAATAAAAATCAGACGTCTGGCACTGAAAGAAACCATCCCACTTGAAAACGCGTAAAGATATGATGCCAGACACCAGGTACTTCACAGTCTGGCTGGAGAACAGATAGCCATGCATGAAGTACCTATTAAGACCAGGGTGCCAACTCAAACCCCTGAGGGGCCAGGTGAAATTTCACCCAGGCTGGTGTGCAATGGCGCGATCTTGGCTCACTGTAACTTCCACTTCCCGGGTTCAAGCGATTATCCTCAGCCTCCTGAGCAGCTGGGATTGCAGGTGTCTGCCACCATGCCCTGCTAATTTTTGTATTTTTAGTAGAGACGGGGTTTCTCCATGTTGGCCAGGCTGGTCTCAAACTCCTGACCTCGTGATCTGCCCGCCTCAGCCTCCCAAAGTGCTGAGATAACAGGCATGAGCCATGGCGCCTGGCCCTTTTCTAGTATTAACAACTCTGCTTTCTTGGATGGGAATTCATGAGCTCTAGTACTTGAGGAGATTTTCATCTGTAGATTTTAGGATTTTCTTATCTACCATATTCAGCATTCATCCTGGAGCAAACCCAAAGAAAATCTGCCTTGGATCCTTCTGAGTACTGAACATTCGAAGAGTTCTTCTTTCGTGATATCCAGTAAATTAGAACTGTCCTTCCTGGCAAGCTCAAGTTGTGCTTCAGGAAATTTGGCAGGATCTGCCAGGTTCCCATGATTCTTTCCATTGGTGGAATATGGTACCAGTGCTTCAGATGGAAGCATTCTTTTTGGAATGGGTTGTCCCCAAAAAGAATGGAACAGGTTTGGATAGAATTTCCAGACTTCTTGGATCATAGAAGGCTGTAGTGACACCACCACCATTTTTTTTTCCAATTGCAGCAATAGCTAGTTCTGAAGCCAACTGTACTTCAATATTAACTTTTTTTTTTTTTTTTTTGAGACAGAGTCTCACTCTGTCACCAGGCTAGAATGCAGTGGCATAATCTCAGATCACTGCAACCTCCACCTCCCGGGTTCAAGTGATTCTCCTGCCTCAGCCTCCTGAGTAACTGGGACTACCACGTCCAGCTAATTTTTGTATTTTTAGTAGAGACGAGGTTTCACCATGTTGGCCAGGATGGTCTCAATCTCCTGACCTCATGATCCGCCCACCTCAGCCTCCCAAAGTGCTGGGATTACAGGCATGAGCCACTGCGCCCGGCCCAATATTAACTTTCACCTGAAAGGTGTCAGCAGCCTTTTCGACCAGCTGAACACCATAATCCTCTTTAAGTGGCTGAATGGTCACACCTCTTCCATTGACAAGCTGCTTTAAGTCAATAGGATGAGTAGGATCAACAGGACCCAAATCAGTAAGATACTGCAGTCTATTGATACTTAAAGGATGATACTGGTGCCTGAAGCTAGTTCCTTCATTAAATCTGTATTTTGGGATTCTGATGTAAAATAGAGTCTGGCCATCCTCAAAGCCCAGCAGAGTCAGTTTCCTCTTTGCCTTTCTCTTCTATGGCCTCTGCCACATTTTCTACCTCTTCTCCGACCTTTTGGTAGTCTCATGGGTTTCCTGGAGCCAGGATTCGGCTTTAAATTGATCAGGCTCATGTGCAGCAGGGCCCAGAGCTGCCATAACCTGCGAAGAGGTTTATTTCTTCCTTTCTGACATGTATGTCTTTTATTTGTTGCCTAATTGCACAGCCTAGATCCTCCATCTGGTACAATGTTGAATAGGAGTGGTAAGGGAGACACCCCTCGCTTTGTTCCTGAAATCGGGGGACGTGGGGAAGCTTTCAGTCTTTCACCACTCAGTATGAGGCTACCTGTAGGTTCTTTGTAGAAGCCTTTCATCAGGTTGATGAAATTCCTTTCTTTTTTTTTTTTGAGACGGAGTCTCGCTCTGTCGCCCAGGCTGGAGTGCAGTCGCCGGATCTCGGCTCACTGCAAGCTCCGCCTCCCGGGTTCACGCCATTCTCCTGCCTCAGCCTCCCGAGTAGCTGGGACTACAGGCGCCCGCCACCTCGCCCGGCTAGTTTTTTGTATTTTTTAGTAGAGACGGAGTTTCACCGTGTTAGCCAGGATGGTCTCCATCTCCTGACCTCGTGATCCACCCGTCTAGGCCTCCCAAAGTGCTGGGATTACAGGCTTGAGCCACCGCGCCCGGCCTGAAATTCCTTTCTATTCTTAGTTTGCTGAGAATTTTTATCACGAGGAGTGTTGGGTTTTGTCAAATGCCTTTGCTGCATCATTTCCACTCACATTTCATTGGGAAAACCTGTTATACCTGTCCAAAGGCTGCAGAACATCAGGTAGAGTCCAGTGGTGACAGCTGTGGCAACAGGCCGAGCCCCAGACCCTGCCAGGCTAGAGGTGTCCTGGGGTTGGAGGAGCAGGCTTGCCCCCTCCCTCTGCTCAGAAGGTCCAGCAACCTGACCAGACTGGATTTGCCAGGGTGCAAGCTTCCTTGCATGTCCACACGTCCTCAACAGGGAAGGGTCTACCCAGGGCCATCCTGCCTCAAAGGAGAAGTGGTTTACTGCTTTCCCCACCTCTAGAGGGAATGAGGGCCCCTGCTCCTGGTCCTTACTCTACTCCATTGTCCAGTTGGCGTATGCCCTGAGGCTTCCATTATACAGATTGGAAGCTAAGGTGTAAAAGAACTAAGAATTTGCATAAGATCCCCAACAGGTAAAGACAGGCCCCAAACCTAGGCTCTAGACTTCGTTTTTCTGACCCAGCTTCCTTTAACCTGTAGGGCTGGCCCAACGCCCCGGGCTTCACCCAACACTGGGCGCACGCGGTAAGTCCGAGAGGCTGGGTCGGGCGCCCAAGCGAGGGCCCAGGTGGGGCGAAACAGGCGCAGCCAAAGGGCTGGCACCTTCGCCCCCCGCCGTGGATTCAAAGGGTCGGGCTCCACCCCCTCGAAGCCCCGAGCCCACTTTGATGTGCTGATGCGGCCTGGAAGGGGCCACTTCACACCTCGGGCTCGGCATAAAACAGCCGCCGGTCGCCGGCCCCCAGACGCGCCGTCGCTGCCATGGCCCGGCCCCTGTGCCCACCGCTCTCCGAGTCCTGGATGCTCTCCGCGGCCTGGGGCCCAACTCGGCGGCCGCCGCCCTCCGACAGGGACTGCGGCCGCTCCCTCGTCTCGTCCCCAGACTCATGCGGCAGCACCCCAGCCGACAGCCCCGTGCCGAGCGCCGCGCGTCCCGTCTCCCGCCTGGATCCCCGCGCCCCCACCGTAGGGAAGCGCGGCGCGCGCAGCAGCCGCCTGGGCAGCGGGCAGAGGCAGAGCGCCAGCGAGCGGGAGAAACTGCGCATGCGCACGCTGGCCCGCGCCCTGCACGAGCTGCGCCGCTTTCTACCGCCGTCCGTGGCGCCGGCCGGCCAGAGCCTAACCAAGATCGAGACGCTGCGCCTGGCCATCCGCTACATCGGCCACCTGTCGGCCGTGCTGGGCCTCAGCGAGGAGAGTCTCCAGCGCCAGCGCCGGCGCCGGCAGCGCGGGGACGCGGGGTCCCCTCGGGGCTGCCCACTGTGCCCCGACGGCTGCCCCGCGCAGACGCAGACACGGACGCAGGCGGAGGGGCAGCGGCAGGGGCAGGGGCGCAGGCTGGGTCTGGTCTCCGCCGTCCGCGCCGGGGCGTCCTGGGGGTCCCTGCCTGCTTGCCCCGGAGCCCGAGCCGTGCCCGAGCCGCGCGACCTGCCTGCGCTCTTCGCCGAGGCAGCGTGCTCGGAAGGGCAGGTGATGGAGCCGAGCCCACCGTCCCCGGTTAGTGCCCCCTTCCCTGCTCCCCCTTCGGCCGTGCCCCCGCGCACAGCCCCACCGCCCCCCACGGCGAGGACCAGGCACCCTGCCGCTCCCCGCCAGCAGCCTGGCCTCCATAGTATGCCCAGGGCGCCAAGAGGCGAGGGCAGGGAAAGGCCACGCCGGGGACTGGGTCTCCCCTCGCTAGGGGCCCCCGAGGGTAGAGCCCACGAACGCGGACACCCGCACAAGGTCACCAGTGCTGAGGGCTGCCCTGTTCCTTCTCTCGCTACAGCTCCTTCCCGGCGACGTGCTGGCCCTGCTGGAGACCTGGATGCCCCTCTCGCCTCTGGAGTGGCTGCCTGAGGAGCCCAAGTGACAGCGGACAACTGACGCCGTCTCTATGAGCACCGAGGCTCTTTTGGCCTCAGCCCCTTCGAAGTGGTTCCTTAGCAGACTGCCTTTCCTGGAAGAGGGCACCGGCGATCCCGGCAGGGGCATTCCTGCGGGTGAGAGCCTTGCCCACCACAGCGGCCCTTCTCAGCACCCCCCCTCCATGGAGGGACCCATAGAGTTAGACACTTTGAAGCAAGCAGGAGGCTCTGCCTAATGTGAATTTATTTATTTGTGAATAAACTGCTGGTGTCCGTTGGCAATTTCTTCTTCCTACCTGTGGACACAAAACTCCCTCTCTCCCTCTAAAGAAGAGCATGGGAGAGGTGGGAGGGGTTCTTGCAATCTTTAGCCCTCCCACCCCCACAGGCCCAACCCCCTTTGACCTTACCCCCAGCCCTGGCTCAGCATCTAGTCCAGATGGGTCAGCCTGGAAGGGGTGGGGAGGGGCGTCCTTTGAGAAGGCAGCGGCAAGTAGAATCTGCTGATCTTTTCTTTGAACCTGGTGGGGAACTGGTTAAAACCAAAATATCTGTGTAGAAATACAACTCCATTATTATTTGTTGTATGTATATCAGGTACCTATTATATTCAAGTAACCATTTTACAGAAGGATGAGGATCAGCACTCAAGCCCCTGTAGGCCTCCAGAGTCCCAGCGCTCAGCTCTTGGAGGATTTTGCCAGCTTCATGCATGTTGGGGCCTGAGGGATAACAGCTACAAGAGGTCATTTTCTTGTGTCCTGGGGCCTTATTCTCCATAGACTGGAGCACCCTGGCCTTGGACCTCCCACCCCCTACTCCGACATTTTCCCATCTCCCTTTTCTCTGGTTTCCTGGCCTTGTGGCTTAGAGATAAAAATAACAGTGTGGCGGTCCTGAGTTTATATAACCATGACCTCCTAGAGGCCTAGCTGGGGTGAGATGATCGCCCATGGGGTTGCATCAGAATCCACACAGGCAGTTGCACTCCTGTCTGCATTGGCTGGAGTCACATCAGGGAGCAAGAGACAGGAGCCTTGAGCCCAGAAAGTGTGTCCTCATCCAGCCAGGGTGTCTAGGGAACAGTTATCCTTGGAGGGTGGGGTGGGAAGAAGGGATGTGTAGGCTCCTTGCCAAGTGTCCTTTACCCTCTATGGATAGATACCTAGTTCTCCTCTCTTCTCCTTCAAGTGTCTGAAACACAGGCCTTAGTGTCTGTTTTTATAAAAGCTTTATTAAGATATAATTCACATACCATACAATTCACTCTTTTAACAATTGAATGGCTTTAGTACATCCACAGAGTTCTGCAACCATTGCCACTAATTTTAGCACATTTTCACCCCCCAAAAGAAAACGTGTACCTGTTAACATCACTCCCCATTATTCCCCTACTCCCAGCCCCTGGCACTCACTCATCTAGTCTCTGTCTCTATAGGTTTGTTTTTTCAGGATATTTCATATAAAAGGAATAATAAAATATGGCCTTTTGTGTCTGGCTTCTTTCACTGAGCACAGTGTTTTTAAGGCTCACCATGCTGCCTCCTGTGTCAGAACTTCATTTCTTTTTACTGCCCAATAATCTTCCATTGTTCAGCTACATCACAGTTGGTTTATCCGTTCATCCGCTGATGCTGCTGGGTTTGCTTTTCAACTGCTTCAGAGATCCCTTCCAGTACTCTAGCCCCGCCGGGAGGGGCTGTAATGCAGAGTGGGATGGAGTCCCTGATCTGCAGTTCAGGGGTCTAGGCCAGGCAGGGCACACCCGGGCTGGCGCTTGGCCACAGAGAATGTGCTCCAAAAGTCATGCCTGCAGCGGGGTGGGACCTCACACCTCCGCGGGTCACCCCCTTTCCTGCTCCTCTGTCCCATCTCTCACTCCCCTCCCAGGACCCTAACTGGGGTAGAGTGGGAAGTTTTCTGGAGCCGACCCAGCTTAGAAGATCTATTTGCATGGCAAAGGCCCTGCGTTTCAGCATGGGGAATTAAAGTTATTAGCAAGTCTTTTCACAGATAAGTGGGGCTCATTGGCCAGCCCCCTTCCCCCTTCCCCGCAGAGGGCTTCTTCTCCAGCCCTGAGCCTGGGAGTGGCCCGCTGTTTATTAGCACCTAGGTGTGAATTTTCATTAACAAGCTTCTGCTAATAGCTGCCCAGACTCAGGACTGGAGATAGGAAGGGGACACCTCCCACTGCTCCAGCGTCCCCATCCCCCATCTCGGCCAGCGCCATCCCGCACCCGGAGGAAACCCTGTGTGCCTGTTCACAGAGCCGACAACAGTAGCCAGCGTCCAGGTAGGCACCCCGTGCCAGATGGTAGCGGAGCCTCCCTCACCTCAGTTCTCAGCCCCGCTGCGAGGTAACCCCAGCTGCAGAGCCACTTTAAGAACAGGAGGGTTAAGAAAAAGGCTGCAATGGTGGATGGCAGTGTTCGGATCTGGACCCAGCTGTGACTCCAGACCTGTGTGTGTAATCACTGGGTGTGCTGCCCTCACTACGGCTGAACACCAGCTTGTCTCAAGAACAGAGGGTATTGGGGGGTGTCTCACCTCCCCCGAGGCCCAGGCAGGGTGCCCCACTGTGGAGTGGTCTGGGCCAGGCCCCATGTGCCGTGGAGGGGGTAATGAGAAAGACTGCACCAGCATGGGGGTGCCCGCTGAGGCCAGCTAGCTGCCCTCTGGTCCCCGCTGGTCCCCAGCCGCCCTCCTCTTCTTGGGAGCTGCTTTCACAGGACCACCTAGTGAGAAGGCCAGCGCAGGGAAACCAGCATTTCCAGAGCAGTGACCCTCAGCCAGGCTGTGTGCTTAGTTAGGACTTGGAATTTGGGCTCAGGGCCGCTGGCGAGGTGGGTAGGTTTGCACTCCCCCTGTTTTACAGGCAGAAGCTGAAGCACAGGGAGCTCAAGGAACTTTTCCATGAGGCTAGAGTGCAGCCCCTGGGGAAGGGCCAACTTCGTGCTGGTGGTTGGTGAAGGCTGTCTTTGCAAGAGTCCTGGCAGCAAGGTAGATGTGTGTGTGTGTGGCAGTGGGGCTGTGTGTGTGTGTGTGCGTGTGTGTGCGCGTGCATGTGTGTTTGGTGGCGGGGCTGTGTGTGTGTGGCGGCGGGGCTGTTTGTGTGTGTGGTGGTGGGGCTGTGTCTGTGTGTGTATGTGTGTGTGTGGTGGCGGGGCTGTGTGTGTGTTTACGTGTGTGTGTGTGGCAGTGGGGCTGTGTGTGTGTGTGTGGAGGAGGGGCTGTGTGTGTGGGGGGGCAGCGGGGCTCTGTGTGTGTGGCAGTGGGGCTGTGTGTGTGTGTGTAGGCAGGGCTATATGTGTGTGTGTGTGTGTGTGTAGAGGCGGGGCTGTGTGTGTGTGTGTGTGTAGGCAGGGCTGTGTGTGTGTGTGTGTGTGTGTGTGGAGGCGGGGCTGTGTGTGTGGTGGCTGTGTGTGTGTGTGTGGAGGTGGGGCTTTGTGTGTGTGTGGAGGTGGGGCTGTGTGTGTGTGTGGAGGTGGGGCTGTGTGTGTGTGGAGATGGGGTTGTGTGTGTGTGTGGAGGTGGGGCTGTGTGTGTATGTATGTAGGGAGGTGGGTGTGTGTGTGTGGAGGCGGGGCTGTGTGTGTGTGCAGACGGGGTTGTGTGTGTGTGGAGGCGGGGCTGTGTGTGTGTGCAGACGGGGTTGTGTGTGTGTGGAGGCGGGGCTGTGTGTATATGTGTGGGGAGGCAGGGCTGTGTGTGTGTGTGTGGGGAGGCAGGGCTGTGTGTGTATGTGTGTGGAGGCAGGGCTGTGTGTGTGTGTGGAGGCAGGGCTGTGTGTGTATGTGTGTGGAGGCAGGGCATTGTGTGTGGAGGTGGGGCTGTGTGTGTGTGATGGCTGGGTGTGTGTGTGTAGGCAGGGCTGTGTGTGTGTGGAGGTGGGGCTGTGTGTGTGTGGAGACGGGGTTGTGTGTGTGTGGAGGCGGGGCTGTGTGTGTATGTATGTAGGGAGGTGGGTGTGTGTGTGTGGAGGCGGGGCTGTGTGTGTGTGCAGACGGGGTTGTGTGTGTATGGAGGCGGGGCTGTGTGTATATGTGTGGGGAGGCAGGGCTGTGTGTGTGTGTGGAGGCAGGGCATTGTGTGTGGAGGTGGGGCTGTGTGTGTGTGATGGCTGGGTGTGTGTGTGTAGGCAGGGCTGTGTGTGTGTGGTGGTGGGGCTGTGTGTGTGTGTGTGGAGGCGGGACTGTGTGTGCGTGGAGGCGGAGCTGTGTGTGCGTGGAGGCGGGGCTGTGTGTGTGTGTGGAGGTGGGGCTGTGTGTGTGTGTGTGGTGGTGGGGCTGTGTGTGTGTGTGGAAGTGGGACTGTGTGTGTGGAGGTGGGGCTGTGTTTGTGTTGAGGCTGGGCTGTGCATGTGTGTGTGGTGGCGGGGCTGTGTGTGTGTGTGTGGAGACAAGGCTGTGTGTCTGTGTGATGGCTGGGCTGTGTGTGTGCGGGGGAGTGGTGAGGCCCTGTCTGTGAAATAATGTTCCTAAGGCACACTGGCCACCAGTGTCATGGTGAGCAGGGAATCAGCTTCTACTTGCGGACCACACGTGCCACTCCACGTTGAGACAGGGATGTGTGGTGCTGTGTGGCTGTGTAGAGGTGTGGATGCTGTGTGGATGTGTGGAGGTGTGGATGCTGTGTGGAGGTGTGGAGGTGTGGGTGCGGTGTGGATGTGTGGAGGTGTGGATGTGTGGAGGTGAGAATGCTGTGTGGAGGTGTGGATGCTGTGTGGAGGTGTGGATGCTGTGTGGAGGTGTGGAGGTGTGGATGCTGTGTGGAGGTGTGGAGGTGTGGATGCTGTGTGGAGGTGTGGAGGTGTGGATGCTGTGTGGAGGTGTGGAGGTGTGGATGCTGTGTGGAGGTGTGGAGGTGTGGATGCTGTGTGGAGGTGTGGAGGTGTGGGTGCGGTGTGGATGTGTGGAGGTGTGGGTGCGGTGTGGATGTGTGGAGGTGAGAATGCTGTGTGGAGGTCTGGATGTGTGGATGTGTGGAGGTGTGGATGCTGTGTGGATGTGTGGAGGTGAGAATGCTGTGTGGAGGTGTGGATGCGGTGTGGATGTGTGGAGGTGTGGATGCGGTGTGGATGTGTGGAGGTGAGGATGCTGTGTGGAGGTGTGGATGTGTGGAGGTGTGGGTGCTGTGTGGATGTGTAGAGGTGTGGATGTGGTGTGGCTGTGTAGAGGTATGGATGTTGTGTGGAGGTGAGGATGCTGTGTGGAGGTGTGGATGCTGTGTGGAGGTGTGGAGGTGTGGATGCTGTGTGGAGGTGTGGAGGTGTGGATGCTGTG